CTGGCATTGGCAAGGTGACAGAGCGCATGCTCAATGGGCTGGGCATTGTGACTTGCGAGGACATGTTTGCGCACCGGTACGACCTGTTTCAGCTCTTCTCCCCCATTTCGTTTGATTTCTTCCTGCGCGTGTCACTCGGTGCTGGGTCTAGTCGGTACGAAGAGGCTGTCAAAGCCGATGCAGTCGCCACCCCGACGGCAGCGTTTGGCTTTGGCTTTGCCGTTCCAGACAATGATCGCAAGAGCATTTCGGTCGAGCGCACCTTTCGCGAGATCAACACGCCCACCGCCCTGTTGGCCAAGTGCGAAGAGCTGTGCCATAAGCTGGCGGCTGATGTGAACTCGTGCAAGCTTCGCGGCCGAACCGTCACCGTCAAGCTAAAAATGGTGGATTTTCGCATGTTTACCCGCGCAGCCTCCTCACAGCGGTACATTTCCTCTGCCTCAGAGATGTTTGAATTGGCCTCAAAGATTCTGCAGGACGAAATCCAGCAGAGCGAGCGCGCAGGCGGGCCGCTGCGACTCCGCTTGATGGGGGTGCGGTTGTCTGCGCTCGTTACCGAGCCTCCTCCTCCTTCTTCTTCTTCCTCTATCAGCAACACGATTGGTTCCACCCCGGGCGCTGGCGAGGGCGAGCTACTGGACAGCACGCCAAGCACTGCCCACGCCAAGGCCAGCGGCATTGAGCGGTTTTTCGCTTTGAGCTCGAGGCATCTGACTTCCGAGATTGAAGCGCGCAATGCCAGTAAAGATCGTAAGGCAGCAGCGCGGCAAAGGCAAAGGGTGTGTTCCAACGATGCCATTGAAATTTCGGACGATAGTGATGCCGAGGACGGCGATAACGACGAGGATGACTGGGCTGCGGTTGCGGCCGACTCGGCGTCTCTGGACAACGCATCACACCCAAACGGCCAGCAAGTCGGGACAGCCGCCTCCTCAAGAGGGGCACTTCCAAGTCTTGGAAGCGCACCTGTGAGCAACGGTCGCATCCACACGGCAACAACAATGTACCAAGCGATGAAGCATCGCTTAACAGAGCAGACTGCAGCGGCTTTCAAGCGCCCTCGGCTGGATCCGAGTGCCGCCGACTCTTCATCCACTGCAGCTAATACTCCCAGCCAACCATCGCACGTTTGTCCGATCTGTCAAAGGCCACAAGTCTGCCAGAACCTGGTTGAGTTTACTGATCATGTCGATGAGTGCCTCACGAAGCAGACCATCAAGCGAATTTTACAGCATGATGATCAACAGCAGCAGCAGCAGCAGCTTGGAAGAACTGGCGTCACATCTGGGACAACAAAGAGGTGAAGGGTTGGTTTGTGGTTGTTTTTTGCTCGTTTTTTTGGCTTTTGTTTTCTTATCAACCCTTTACTTTTGGTTTTGGTTCATTTCACTGGCAGACAAGCACCACAATCGAGTACATCTACTACATTGGAGCGAATGATTCAGCGGCAAAACAAGATACGCTGAGCAATCTTGTAGAGGCTTGACCGACGCGACGACAGTTTCAGCGTTCGCCAAGCGTCGGAATGTCATGTTTTCGGATCAGAACGCACTAGTTGGCGGCATGTGCACTGCTGCAGCAGAAGGCCGTTTTCATGCCCGCGATAATCGTGGAACGGCCATCGTGAGGAGGACTTGGCTGTGATCCAGAGTGATGATCGACATTGGGAGTTGTGCAGCTTGTGGAATCCCAAACGAATCCAAACTCATAAAAGAGGTTCTTTTTGCGACTCAACTGGAGCAGAATCCAATCATAACATAGGTCGGATCAAGAGGAAGAGGAAAGGACTGTTTGATTTTTTTTTTTTTTTTTTACAAAAAAACCTTCTGGCGGTCAATCGCGCGATCTCGAACGCCGCTGCGCCGGTACGAAGTCGAATGAGACGCGCTGCTCGATACCCCAGCACATGCAGTGCTCTAGTCAAAATTCAGTCAGTGGTCAGGGCTCAGGTCGAAGCAGAACTGGAACACGTGTGGCGGTTGTTTGAGGGTTGAGGTTTGCCCCAACCACGCGCGTGTCTGCCGACTGCCGCTTTCAAACCAATGCATGGGCATTGAAGAAACATGGCCATGCGTTGTAGTGATGCCTGCGTTGAGCACACACACACACACACACATGTAGACCTACTTTTTGTACAAATGCAATTGAGGACCAATAGAAAACAAAGACGCTTCTGGTTGATAATTACCAGTCCACTCGTTGTTTTTTGTTTTGTTATCTTTGCTTCTTTTGTTGGTTTTGTTGTTTTCTTCAGCCTCGCGGTTTCGTTTTTTTGTAAGCGAGATCTGCTTTGTCCATGTTTTGTTCAATGCTCTCTCTCTCTCTCTCTCTCTCTCCCTGAAAAACTCTTCGACGGGAATCGCTGAACATGTGGCTGATCACGGCATGCATTTGGCACTGACTCGTGCGATCGTGTCGGCTGCGGTTTGTTTGTTTGAGTTTCTTCATTTTGTTCCTTTTTTGTTGGGTTTTGGATTTGATCCGAGGTTGTTTGTGGAAAGGGGGCTCCTCATCAACTTGTGCACAGGCACTCCGCCAGCCACTTGTTTTCACTTGGTCATTTTATGACCTTTTTTGCTTGGTTGAGGGCAGGGTCGGCGAGACAGTGAATGGCAGGGTGGTACAAAAGGGGAATAATTGCCATGGGGTTGTGTTGATAAACAAACTGATAACAAACTTCTCGCGGTCTTCCGGATTTGTTGCCGCTACTGTTTCTTCCACAACCATTGGACAGTTATGACTTGAGAGTGTGGACATGGTGCTGCGATTCGTTGCGACTTTATCCCTTTTGTTTTGTGTGAACCGATCTCTTCCCAACACCAAATATCACAAACTGTTCAACTCACCATACATTGTCCCATCGTCGCATCGCACTGTTTGTTTTCCCTTTTGTGCTCGCAGGCGCTCGATTTCTACCTCAGCTTCTCAAAGACCAAAACGACCGAGCGCAACAAGATGGCGACGTTGCGACTGGCAATTCTGCTGGTTGTGCTCTGTGCCGTTCACTCGGCCCGCGC